TAACCGCGCGCGCACGAATTTGTTATATAAATTTAATTTTAATATTAAAATCATGTATTTAATATATTTTTAATTAAGATTTTAATATTAAAATTAAAGTCATATATATTAGATATACTAAATCTGGAATACGCATGCCAGGTATGCCAAATCCGGTAATTATTTGGCTATATCCTACCCTTTGGCTATATACTATATCCTTTTCCATGCACCGGATATAAACAAAAAATTATATAATTTCTATAAAACATAAAATGTATATATTTATGTTTATATTTTTTATAAGATATAATTTGTTAATTTTTTTTGCCCGGCATATGGAAAAGGCCCAAATAATTACCGGATTCGATATGTCGAATCCGGCACACCCCACACGGAAAGAACAATTTTGCTGGGACCAGATCAGAAAATAATTTTTGTTCAATAATCAAAATAATTTTGTTGGAAAGTCAAAACGATTGCTAGAATATCAAAATGTTTTATAGCAACGCCTGTCATTTTTAACTTTCCAATAAATAATTTTGATTATTGAACAAAAATTATTTTCAGATTTGTATTTAGCAAAATTTTTAGACCGTTCAACAAAATCGTTCTTTCCGTGCATCAACCCTATATTCGGGCCTAATCGGCGCAAGCTAAATCTGGCATACCAAATTTCTAATCCAATTTTTCAAGTATCTTTCAGTATCTTTCCCTTTTACGTCCAAGATAACAATTCACTTCTCAGTTATCAAAAATATGAAAAAGATATTTATGGGGAGATTTGTCGGAAAACCGCAGGCGTCACTCAAAACGATAGAAATTATCGTCCATGTCAGTACGTATTCTTCTCACAGCCGAGATTTACACTCAGGGCGTTCGTTATTCAGCGGAGGATTCACCCTGAGTGTATCTCGGCTGGGGTGAAGAACCCTCTGCCCCCATCGGGGACCCTTCAAGCGGCCTCGAGGGTGGCGCACTTCGGCCCCTCCCGAAAACAAAACATATTGTCCGAATTTAATTGTGGACGGGGTGCATTAGATATTCATACGCTACGTGTTCGGCGACGCGTGCGACAATGCGCCCGGCCCGGGGTAACGTAGCACGCGCGTGTCCTGGTCGCACCGAGGGAATAAATCTCCTACGAGGTAAACAGCTCGCGCGCCCTTCGTATCCTTCTGGACTTCGAGCGACACTTCCGGTTAATTAGTTTAAAGGCAACGCTCGAGGTGAAGTATGATGCTGGTGTTAAAAAGTAATAACAGAATGTAATCTTACGCATAAAATTCAATTAATTTAAAGAACGCTAATTCAAAAATTGTACATAATGTTGTACATATGATTAAAACAACTGTATTATGTTTCAATCGTATGAATGTTCTACAAAAGGATTAGATACATAAAAGATATAATAAAAGAATATATCGGAATAATGAATTTATATTATATTATATTATATCTTTAATGCAATTGCTCATTTTCATTAAGATAAAATATATTGAAGATATAAGTCTAAATAAAAATTATATAGGAGCAACAAAAGGTTGATATATAAAATAATTATGATTTATTTATTTACATTAATGTTAAAAAATTAAGTCGTAAGTAAAAAGATTATTATTAATAAACATACAAGAAAAAAGTCTTGAACTGAGAAATTGTAAGATACACATATTATTAAAAATATTATTAAGCACCAAGATCCGCTTTGCACCATGTTAACATTTTTCACATTCTGTTTGAAACAACCTGCGATTTAGATACTTATTCGTATTTACATATCGCCGTTAAAACAGATTTCTATAAAATATCTAACATGCTACAGTTTGTTGTTGCAGTTAAATTGAAACCGGACCGCCATATTTATCTAATAATCACATACAGTGTTTCATGAAGCAGCGTTAGTAGTGTGCATTTAATAATATATATGTTAAACTTTTGACGTTTTTGAAAGTAACTTAAAATCATTAAAAATGGATAAGATGCCCTCCTGGGTTTTATTTGTATTTAGCTTGGAGTTAGCGATTTTGGGTATTCGATAGAAATTTGTGGTTGAAAGACATCCTTCCTAAATTTATCGGTTATTGTGATGAATATTACCACACGTTTTGCTATTTGAATAGTAAAACATCCGCTCAGAGAGAAGGTCTAGGTTCAAATCCCGACTAAGGGAATTTTTTTCGCAATTCGCAATAAGTTATTTTTATAGGATTTAAAAAGATGCTCAAGAGCATCGAATTATTAAATTGCCTTGACAATTTAATTGGTATATTACTTACTGTTCAGTTTGATGTTGCGTTTTAAAGGTTGACGATTATGCAGCGCGCAGTTGTCTAGAACTAAGAAATTATAAGACTCATATATCATTAAAAATATTATTAAGTACCAAGATCCGCTTTATACCATATTGGCATTTTTCTCATCTTACTTGTTAGAAGATAAAATATTCTGATTTTAAAATCTAAAAACGCTATAACTTGAAAAGTGCAGATTAAAATATATACAATAATTTTATCTCTCAAATATAAGAAATTGGATTAATTCATACAATATTCAGTTTTAACCCTGACCGAAATTGAATTAAAAAATCAAGATTATTTAATTAAACTAACAGCTATTTTCAACAAAAAGATGTTTCTTTTAATATGTTTACTGATAATGATCTTTTTTTACTCACTAAGTAAAACTAACAATAAGTAAGGTTAAAACATCTCGTCATTTTTTTAACATTAATGTAAATAAATTATAATTTTATATATTTTATTATATATCAACTTTTTTGCTAATTACATAGATCTATTTTCAATACATTCTCTATTATATTCTATTATTTATTATTTGTATTATTGTATTATATTATGTATAAACGCTAATTTAATTTTTGAAGCATACAACATAAGAACAAATTATCAATCAGATTCGATATAACCTCCGATAAAGAAAACTAAAAGAAAGCGTGGAGTTGGCAAATCGACCACATTAATGACGAGGCGATATCCAAACTCGATCATCCCCTTCGACGAAGTACCCTTATTGGCACTTAGGAATAAACAAGAGACGATCAATAGGCCATAAAGGATGGAATCAAGTGTCCACATGAAAAATATTGCTCCATAAATATGCTCGCAATCGACGCCACTTCGTATCACGCCGTTATTATGGCTTCGAAATTTCGCAGAACGACCTATTTGGAAAGATAACAAATTGACAAACGATACATCGGCACAATTATAACATAAATAGATCCTTTTGCATATTAATAACACATACACATTCAAAATTTAATAAAATTTGGATTGTATTTTTTGTCGCGGAAGTATTCAGCAAATTGTATCAATGAATCTTTAAGAGAATACATTTTTTTATAAAAATATGGCATTGTAAAATTTGCTTTTACAACCTTAAAATTTTAGAAATTTATTACCGTAAATTCGTATCATGCCGATACGCCGATATTTAATATTATTAATTTTTGTAACTTGAATCTTAAATGAAGATTAATTTTAAAATCTTTCTCTTTGTTAAAATTAAATAATTTTATATTAATAATAATTTTATTTTTTCTACTAATGCAAACAAATATCTTTATATTTATAATTTTAATTTCAGATTTGAAAGCGATTACAAAAATCATTGAATACCAATTTTAATATATCTTCTATAAGCAAAATTTCTTGCTATAATACATATTATACAAAATTAAAAAATTGTCGGACTTTGAGCCGGCACTCTGAGTAAACTTATTGTGAAATTTTTTTACTTTAAATTCGAATTCAGCGATTCAAGATACCGCTAGATATGAAATTACAAAGAAATCAGAGTGCAAAAAATATATATCTTTTTTATTTTCAAAAAAATCCTTTGACACAATTCCTTTAATGACACTCCTTCAGTCAAATCTTCAGAAACAACAGTAAAATTTCAATTTAGACCTCCCGATTTTCCATTCTAATATAATTATATGACAGAAGCCCTACAAGGGATGTTATGCAACATGGGATGCAAAGGGTTACTTTTGCCGAGAAAACCGTTGCTTTAGTATTTGACCTGTCATAAAATCGTCCTCTTGCGAAATCTCACAAAAAAATAGCAAGAGAGAGTTACCAGTCTTTTTTTTGTGCTGTAAATGGAACACAATGTCCTATCAGAGAATAAATTGTGTGTACAGAATTAACGAAAGACGGAGGGAAAGAAGAGGAAAAAAGGAAGAATAATACAAATGAGAAGGGAGGTGTAGTAGAACGATATCGAAGAAAAGTCGCTCTTTCTTACTTCCATTCTTAATTCGAATTTAAGTCCGATACTAGCGCGCCCACCATTTCCGTCCCACCTTCTTCATGATCTTCCCTGCCTCCTATGCTTCATGGGCTGGATTTGTCTGCAATACAAGTGGGGGTGCTAGTGATTGGTAGGATTGATAGAATTTTTCTCTCTGCTTCTCTATCCATCCTCCTGTCATTACTCGTTTGTTTGCGATCCGCGCACTCGTACGAATACGATAAAATAATTTATAATACGATGAAATAATTTGAGTGGAAAGAAATAAAATAAACAGGTCAAAAGTTTCTAGCTGCAGTGCATTTTGTACTAAATTGTACAAAATTACCAATTTTATGTGAATACCAATATTTGTGTAAAAAAACATCAATCATAACATTAGTAGCATAATAAATATCCTAAACTTTTGACGATTAATATTTTTTATTTTATTTTTGTAGAAGTTAACTATTCTGAGAGAATATGAAACATTGAAATGATTGTCGCTAAGGAACTGTTTTATATTAAAAAAAAAGTATTCTTTATTTCTTGTGAAAGCCGAATAAAAAGATGAAGTGTAAGAGAGAGAGAGAGAGTTTGACTAATATATCGACAACTTCTGAGGGCCAATCAGAAGATCCAGCGCGTTGTGTGTCACGACAAGCCCATCCCCAACGAAACGATTGGTTAGCAGCAAAATGGAACTCGGGTGGGGAGAACTACCACCACGGGCACTCACGTTGTAGCTCTGGAAAACCAGAACCATTCGGTACTCGGAACCCGAAGCCATCGTTCTCGCGAGGTAAGCAAACGTGAAGTTCCCTCTCCGCCTTGCATTCGTCCGTGGCTTCGTTTGCTTGAAAACTAAGATCGGCTCGGAGTATCGAAAACGCGTCTCGTGATTTTTATAACGCTAACAAAGATGAGTAACAATGGAGTACACTTTAAAGACATTGGCAGCGTATGAGCGCGACAACATATGAGGGAACTGACAGGAGGACCAGGAGTGACGTGAAAGTGAAACGAGAATCTGGTCTCATCATATTGTGTGCAAGATTGAATTGTGCAGTGACCGACAATCTCTTAATGTTATGCCATAAAACAAATAGTAATAACTTGTCACTATAGTGATTGTTGTTGAACACGACGCTTTGTAAGACGAGAGTCTCAATCACGGCAACAAAATTGATCTGGACTTTCAACGAGCCGCCGGCTTTATGAGGTGAGCCTTCTTTTTCCAATCTTTCAAAAGTGGAGTTACTTGTAAAATTACGTCCTGGAAACTAAAAAGTAAAATCTTATACTCACGCACGTCTCTCACAAGTTCTACCCTAAAGCTTGTCTACGACATTAAAATTTTAATAAATCAGAAACTTCATACGATCAAAATTGTTAACATCATAAATCTGAAATTGTTTATTTAAAAATCAAAGTATTATATGTCAATTTATAACTGTGCGTTTCTCAAAAATATATATTTTGATCTCTCTATTTTTACTATAATGTGATCTTAGCATATTAAATAAAATATCTCTGTAGACATTCTAAAAAGAAAATACGGGAATATTACATTTATTTAAAAGTTCATTATTTTTTGTAAATCGTTAAAGTCTTATTCAAGTAAATAAATTATATTTTATATTCATGATACATATATAATTTTTAGTAGCATAATCAAATAATGAAATTTGTATCTTTTTAAGTTTCCAAGAAAACTAAACTCTTAATCAAATATATTAAAATTTACCGATACGAGTCGCGGTAATTAAAGTGCGTAAAGTAACAATCAAGAATTAAAATGCATTAAATAGAATGGGTGATAACAAGTCGTGTTAGATAAAATACAATTAATAAATAACACCACAAACGTTTAAATTCTTGATATGGATTCTCTTTAGAACTAAACTGAAGAGAATTTATGTTCATATTCATAGCCAAGGATCGAAACGTTTGTAGCATACACTATGGAAAAATGTCTTTAAAAAGACGAACAATGAATATGTCTATAAAAAAAAAAGAGAACCCAACTCAATAAAAAAAAATTAAAGAAAAACAAGGTAAATTTTTCTCGAGAAAACTACGTTACAAATCCAATATTAAATATTTGTTTTCTTATGCATCTTTACATACAATAAAAAATATACACTATAACTTAATTTGCAGAAAAAATGAAAAGTACGAAATATAGCCGAAACCTTATAACCACGACGGAATCAATAAATTTTATTATATTAAAGTTATATTAAAATTTTAAATGTTATATTAGCATTTTACTGCTAAAATTACTTTACTTGTTTAGAAAGTCATGACTTTATAACATAAATACTTCAATTATTAAAGTATTAAGTATTAAAGTATTTTATTTTCTGAAAATAAAATACTTTCATACTTGGTACTTTAATAATTACTTTTATTTTGGATACTTTTATTTTGGAAAATACTTTAATACTTAATACTTTATTAATTACTTTAAGTAATTATACTTTTTGACTATAAACTCCTAATTATTGAAGCATTTGTGTTATATCATCGTGACTTTCTAAACAAGTAATTTTAACAGTAAAATACTAATATAACATTCAAAATTTTAATATAACTTCAATATAAAGAACTACTGCAAAATTGAATCACTAAATTATCTTTTAATAGAAATTGTCTTTAATAAAATGCTCAAATATAAATCATATTATAAGAAAAGAGAACCTTTCAAATATGTAGACGAAGTTTATTAAAAATAAATAAAATGATAAGCAATATGTGTTAAAGAATCTCTAAATTAGTTAAATTACTAATTAGTATCGCTATTGAATGAACGTGTTACGTAATTGCGCTGATTCAATTTCGTAATGGACATATTCAATGTCACCGATTTAAAAAATAGAATTAATCTATCATTATTAATATATAATAATATTTTTAAAGATGTGTTTAATAGCATTGATAATATTAATTCAAAAAACATCCAAATAATATGAAATAAAAATCAGAGAAATGCCAGAATTGCATCATTTTTAAGTCATTAATATTAATGATATTAAAATTTACGTAAATCATCAAAATTCAGTTTTGCAAGACCCTGATATATTTTCTATATTTGAAAACTACATGGTCTGTCCCAAAAATAATGAGATTAGTTTTGGCGTTCCAATCAGAATTGTCGGAGGACGAGGTCTTTGATGCGGGATGTCAGGTATAATCTGACTCTTCCCAGTTGCCTCCAAGCCTTTCTATTAGTCGATACCGTCAGTAAAGTGTGTTGTGTAGTTTTTGTATCTAATTGTCTCGGGCGAAAATTCAGCAGTCTCGAGCAGCAATCAAATTCTGCGTGAAACTGGGAAAATCTGGTTCCGAAACGTTGGAGATTTTGAAAACAGCTTATGGAGATACTGCTTTGTCTTCAAAATTTGTTCGCGTAACGCTGCTCGCAAAATACACCACTGTCTGTGCTGAATTTTCACCCGTGACAAGACACAAAAATTACAACGCATTTTACTCAGTTGTTGACGGCATTGACTGCTATAGAAAGGCTTGGGGACAGCTGAGAAGGGTCAGATTTTGACCTGACATCCCGCACCAAAAGCCATGTGCAATGGATCCACTTTTCGGCAATTCGGATTGGGTCCCCAAAAATAGTCTCATTACTTTTGAGGACAGACTATGTGTTATGTTAATTGCTTTGATAATAATGAAATGAAATTTCACTAATCTTTCTTTTTGATTATCTGCAATCTGTAATATTTCATTACCATATATTGCAAACTTTTATTTATAAACAAAAGCTATTTATATCTTAAAACAAGATGTTCGCGTACAAAAACTTTAGAAACTTTATCGAAAAATATCCCACTTACGTAGATTAAAACTTTAAATAATTTGAAGAAATTAAGGCTCGTATAATGAGTAGTTATAAATAGCTCAATAATGCCTTTGCGAGTCAACACGGATGTTGATGTGTAATCATTTTTTACTGTTACAATATCAAGCCACATACAAACTATGCGTAGCATAAACTGTCGGTCTTGAAACACAGCTCTGACATGAGACCAGAATCCACTGTAACGAAGAAATATTAAATTGTCCAACAATTTAATATTTTTGATACTAAGCATTTCGATAATAAGATGCTAATAAGAAACAATATTTTTCGCAATAAATTCTTTATAGATTTTGGGGAAGAAAGATTCTTATAGATGCTTATTAGCATCGAGAATATTAAATTGTTGGACAATTTAATTCGTTACAGTGGCCTCATGTCAGAGCTGTGTTTCAAGACTGACAGTTTATGCGGCGCACAGTTTGTATGTGGCTTGATATTGTAACAGTAAAAAATTACTACACACCAACATCCGTGTCGGCTCGCAAAGGCATTATTGAGCTATTTACGATTAAATAATTTATTAAATTTAAAAAATATTCGCTTTGGCTATGGTGTAATTAACAAAATTTATGAAAAATTATTCAAGAAAGACATCGGCAAGTGACATATAAGATACTTCTCAAATTTGTTTTTAAATTTATAATTTGAAATGCGAAATGTGTGATTCGTAACATTCGATACTTCTCAAGCTTCGCGATCGCATTGAATTTAATATTATTTACCGCGGCTGTTGTGCGTATTTCGAAGTAAATATGAACGTTTAATTAATTTATTTACAAATTAAACGCAAAGATTTGAAAAGTAAACGATATTGAAGTTGAAATAGGCAATAAATTGCAGCTTGCTGCAGTCATCCCCGGTTCTCTCGGTGACCCGCGTCTAAACATTCAATTAGCACTTCCTAATCTCTCCCCCGTCGTTCGTTGTCAACAGCCATTACTTCCAGCATCTTCTCGATCTCAGTGAGTTATTCTCTTATTCTCACACACACATACACACACACACACACACACACACACACACACACACACAGAGGGAAGGGGGAGTTTCTCAAAGAAACACCCCAAACACCACGGAACGATGATGACGGGATGGTTGTTCCACCCCTTGCAACTTCAACTAACCGACATATCTATTAATCCGCCCTGAATGACACTCGAGGGTGGCACTCGCTCACTCGTTGTTCCCTCTCCTCCGTACGAGGGGTGATCCCGACCCTACAAAATCGTAACTACCGCTCCCTCTCTTTTTCTGGATCCTCCTCCGACCACTACAGGTTTTTTTTTTTAACGAACGCTCAAGGAGGTTCAGTGCGATAATTGTGTTAGTTCGAGAAGTTTTGGAATGAGAAGGAAAAAGAAGAAGGAAGAGAATCGAAGAGTGAGATGGCAAGTGAGTCGTTTGGCGTATACCCTTTGCCGCAGGAACGACGTTTAGGGGTACTGAAGAGCGCGCGCGGAACGTGCCGAGATTGGTTAATGGCTTTGATACGAAGAAGAGGATAAGATTAATTTGCTTACGAATCGAAAAGCAAACGAATAAGCAATTATGTATCGCGAGGAGAATCCATTCTCATCTCATTCGACCTCCTACGAAGACTTTACGATACAGTTGAGATCCACCGATTATTAGCTAATGCAACAGTGCTATAAAAAACAAACAAGGAGGAAGCAATGTTTGTTAATATCGTAATATGCAAACTGGCAAAATTTAGTAAATAATATTGTTTATATCTTATTATATTTATATTTTATTATAGATTCCATTAACATAACGGAAATATTTTCGTGAACACAAAATACTTATATTGTTTCCTAAAGATGGAAATATAAATAAGTCATTAATACATAAAGAACTATTAAAATACTATTATAAAGAATATCATTACTCTATCTAGTGATAACAATAATTTTTAACACATTATTTTTGTTGCAATAAAAATTATAGTTTATATTATTTCGAAAACATATACTTTCCAAAATGTACACTCTAAATTCGTTGCAGTGAGATTTCACTGCAAAGCAGTGAAATTTCTCTTTCAAAATTATGCGACAACCCTCTTTGCAGTGAAATTTCTCTTTAACTTAAAGTGAACTTGAGTCACTGCAGTTAACAGTGACATTTTAACTGCTAGTAAAGTGACTTTTTTACTCTAATGAATTTTAGATAGGCTCCAAGAAATAATCAAATATAGTGAATGCCTATGAAGAGGGAAATCTTATAGATGCATATTAGCATCGAAAGATATTAAATTGTTCGTCAATTATATTTGTTACAAGTTTCCGACTTCATGCAAAGAATGTGTTTTAAGACCGACAAACCGTGCGACGCGCAGATTGTGTGTGGTTGGATATTGAAACGATAAGAATTTCACATACCAACACCCGTGTCGGCTCTCATTAGGCAATTACTTCACCATATTTTTTACTCTAGTAAAATTACTTTTCACTGTTAATATAATAAATTATTTTCTACCGTCAAAAAATTTTCACTGCTAAAAAAGAGATCGGAAGAGCACACGT